TCCATCTCACCAATTCACTCTTTCATTCATTCGACCATTCTATTCAGGCAGTCGTCTATTTATTCACCTCTTCATTCATGCGCCACTCATTCATTCATGCATTTATTACTTCAACTCACTGATCCTTTCATTCAGTCACTGATTCATCCACTGATTCATGCATCCATCACTTCAAACACTGCTTCTATTCAACACTTCTCTGACTTACTCAATCATGCATTTATTTATTAATCCCACCTCGTTTATTTACCCACCCTTATACTTGCTCAACTCTTCGCCCTTCTAATATATCCATCCATGCATTAAAATAATTGCCTACTTGTTTATCCATATACGTACATGTCTGAAACAACTTCGCTTTACATATTACAATCGCTGACTCTCTTGAGAAATGTTTAATGGTTTGGTTTCATGAACGAGATGCAGGCATAAAAAGCAATAAGGTAGCATAATGAGGGGCGGAAATGAACTCAAATCTAGAAAGGAAGCAGGAATTGGTGAAATCTACACAATTCTATGAAAAGACCTTGGTTGTTATCAACGAGAAATCAAAATGCACTTGAAACCGGCTGACGAGAAGAACTTGCACGCAAGGTGGTTTACGACACCGTGCCTCGATCGATTGAATTCCGCTTAAGGAGGAAAGCAGCTCTATTATTGCATTATGCGGCTTTGGAAGTACGTAACGGTGAAAATAGCAGAGAACTTCAGTAAAAGTAACAAACATTACCTTATACTAAGCTGTGGCTGATAGTTTCGTCGTTTTGCGCAAATGCTGCATTGTAGAAGATGAATGAAACTTTCCTTTACCCGGAAAGGCGTGAAGTACACGAAGAAATCTTCGCTTTGTGGATCAGGTAGTGATAGTAACTAGGGTAAATAATAAATCAACTGTGAGGCAAAATAGTTTAATCCTTGAATATAATAATTTCAAGATAGCGAATAACGATTGACCCCAAACCTCGGTTCTTGTTTTTTTTCCTTTTTTCTATGCTCTGGTTCTTTGTGAATCCTGCATCGCTGTTTTTTACTATTTAGGCTTTGTGCCGGTTTGCCGTCCATCACTGTCAGATGGATCAAGGAAAATTTCAGCAGCAAGACTCACGCTTCTGACGTCATGGCCGCCTATCTCGCAAGCCCTGGCATGACCATATCAGACCACCAAACGGCCACCATCATTCACAGGTTGATTTGTTCAGCACTTCTAGGCTACTTGTCCCAAACGACAGTAGACTAATAACTCTTTACACCGCCGCCCCTTCCCCAGTGTAGTGTTTGCTTTATTCATTTGTTTTCATAGCCTAGTGCCAATTACGGTCTGTGGGCTATTTACAAGGTCTCCACCGTCCGTCACAGAGACGTAAGTCAGGTACTGATGTCAAGGCATGAACATTCATTGGTGTTCGATTTATTCGAGACATTTAGCTGTGGGTCCAACCTCGGTCACCTGGTGACTGGCGTTATCAGAAGTGTTCGTCTTGCAAGTGTTCATTTTGAACTCGTGACCAAAATACCCACGTCAATGCCAGAAACAAATCCCTAGCGAGACTACCTCTGATCCGTGTTTTCTGAATTTAGGTCGAGCCTCATCGAAGTAGCCAAGATCGCATTCTTTCGGTCAACAATAGCACTCACTATCACAGACGATGGTGGGCGCAACTTACTCTTGAAAAAAAGGTAGCCCTCTCTTAATTTCTTTTCATTTGTTGAAAACGGATTCTGCTGTTATCTTATTGGAACGCCATTTTTGAATAGAAAAAAATGATGTTGAACAATATGGTATCCTCTATCCGCTATCAGACTTGTTTTCGTTATGGGTGCGCAATGAACGCAAGTCGACGATCCACCGTATTCTCTGTTCCCTGCTTTCTGCCTCCATCGCTGGCCAACTAATACGGCCACCGAATCGTCCAGGTGGGTTCTTGGACGACCGATTGAACTCTTGTGTCCAGCCGATCTAAGTTCGTAGCTCTTGACCTCAATCGGTTGTCACTCATGCAAGCCACGTAGCCGGAATTTCGTCTTCTGGTGTACGTAAAAACATAAATCAAGCCTGTTAATCCAGCCTGTTGTTGATCTTGTACATTTACACCATGATCCTCATTCCTCGTTGCTGATTCTCTGTGTCACCATCAGCTTCGTCTCCTTAGTTTCAGCGGTAGACCGACACTGAACATATGATATATGGCCGCACTATATCAGTCGCCTCGTGATCTTGAACAAAGTCGATGCTGTTTCAAAACAGGTAAAACACATATCTACGATATGGATACGCTGCAATTCTGGGGAATGCTGCTAGTACAACATCAGATCTACTGCATCGCTTTCAGTGAATCGGTACAGTAAAATTTCCTTTTAAAAATATCAGCAAAACCATACATATTCTACACTCAGACTTACATACCATAATATTCCTGTTCATTCGATGACCAAGACAAGACAAAGAGAATCTGAATATGCGGTACGCAGAAAAAAATTAATTAATTAGACCACTGACTGCACGCAGATAAATGGAAAACAGAATTTATGAATCGCCAAAGGTATGTCGTGTTTCCTCTGTAAAAGATGATGGCGATACGTCACGAAAGCTCGTAATAGACTTGTTGAATGTCTATACTCTTTTCTTGCTTTAATCGTTACAGTAATCATTTTCTACAACAATATAGCCTGAAATTAGAGACCTTAGCTATATGATGACGTCACCATCTTTTCTCCGTCGGATCAAGTCTCTTTGATTACAATCCGGTGTAGTCATGTCTGCGACAACATGGTTTGGAATTGCAGGCCAGTGCCGAATCGCGAACGATGAAAATTATAATCGCAGACGAAAATAAAATCAGATTCTCAGAATTCTCATGAACGACGGCAGGGAACGAAAGCTCACTATTTTTTCGCCCTGATTACGGCGAAACAGCGGCAGTAGAATGACGTAACAGTAAACACGATCGGATCTTTAGAAAAGAGCAACTGACCTGATTTTCTGGAAGGTCTTTTATCGGCCGGTTCTCCTGGTCGAAATTCAACCACCAGTGGTCAGCGATCTCGTCAATGGTTGCCCTGCGGTCTGCATTTACCCGTAGCATGATTCGAATTAGCATCGATGCGGCTAAACGTGAAAGGTAATGCTCGATCTTGGTCGTAAGCCCATACACCAGCACAAAGACGCGCTTACTTGACGGTGGGTCAGGCTCATAATAAACACCACGCTTTATTTGCCTGATCATGCGATTGAAGTCTCGGCCGTCTGAAAGAATCAATTCCTCAATCAATCAACCATTTCTACCGCAACAGCTGTTACATATTACTACCGTTTCTTGATGCCTCAACAATTAACTCCGGTAACAGTTACCAAGCAACAGCATATCGTAAACCTAGTAACACGGACAAATATCTCAACTGAAAACACATGATCATTTAAATAGTAAACGTTCTGTAGTTTTAGCTTTAACAGGCAGAGCCCTGAAACTCTGTAATAATGAATTTCTTAAAGACAAAATAAAGTATAACAAATTAATGTCAGGAAATAACAATAGTTATAAAGCTAAATTCGTTAATAGCATTATAAATCTTAGACTAAATCTACTTATAGCACCAAGAATACTAATAATAAACCTTACTTAATTCTATGGAATCATAAAGCTTCAGTGAAAAAATTACAATCACCACTTAATACTAAATATAATATAAATGTTACACATCAAGGCTCTCATAAACTTGATGCATTATGAAGTATTTCTGAGAATAACAACTCCATAGGCTGGGTTTACAAATTACAATATTAGTGCGAAAAATATTGCATAGGAGAATCAGGAAACACTGTCACGTAAAGAACAGAGACCCATCTGTCAAGCTAGAGAAGATGGATGGTCAGAGAAAAGCGTATG